AATGTTGTACTTTGATGCGCTGTATAAAAAAAAGTATATAAAATATGACACAGAATTTTACCCATAATTTTATCATTCTCATTTTAATATTTACACTCAATGCGTATCTACCAAGCTCACCATAAAGCATATAACTTGACGTAGATGTCAAAAGATGAAGTATACGTTTACAAAATTTAAATTGTTTTAAAAAGTTTCTCAATAATATTCACATTTTCAAATCCCCATATATCTCGCAACCATTAAGAAGGATATGGATAACCATTTTATCAAACATATCAATTTGACAATCGATAGACAAAATCAATTCTCTTGATTTCTAGCTCACCCGAACGAGGTTGGGGGAACTTATGTGATACCCTCGGCGTCGGTTTCAGCATCCCTGGTTAAGGTTTTTGGTGCAGTTTTCTTTTTGAGTACGTTTATGTCTTACATTAATCAGAGATGAATGGAATATGCTTCTATTGTCTTTCATTGTACCATTTAAGGTTTCAGATGCTGCAATTTCAGCTAAGGAATGACCAGGTAAATGTATTTGAAGTAGGTTAAAATTGTGGTGCAGGTCTCATTTCCAAGTAACCATGAGCCCTATGTTGACCAAATTTGCATGAAAGATACATATAAGGATGCACACTACCAGGATTACTTCTGATGCTGGAACTGACCTACATTTTCCGGAGGCGTGAACAGGTTAAAGTCTTTGATGCAGGTCTCATTTCCTAGTGAAAATGACCCTATGTTGACCGAACTTGCAAGAAAGATACATTTAGGGATGCACACTTCCAGGCGTATTTCGGATGCTGGATCTGACCTACATTTTCCGAATGAGTGAACAGGTTAAAGTTCTTGTGTAGGTCTCACTTCCAAGTAACTTTAAGCACTATGTTGACAAAACTTGCATGGATGATACATCTAAGGCTTGCTTCGGATGCTGGATCTGACCTACATTTTCTTGATGAATGAACAGGTTAAAGTTTGGTGAGCAGTTTATCTAAAGTAATGATAAGTCTTATGTTGACCAAACTTGCATGGATAATGCAAACTTATTGACTTGGTTCGGATGCTGGATCCGATAATATACATTTTACAGATAATGGACCAGGTTAAAGTTTTGGATGCAGGTCTATTACCAATAAACTATAACGCCTATCTGATCCAAATTTGCATTATATCACTGAATCAATATAATAACAAATATAGCACCAACTCGTATTGATCCCATCCGGAACACCTTGGGCCTTCCATGGAAAAAATACATCCGGAACATCTCGGGCCTTCACAGTGTTTTTCTGTGTTCCGGATGATATCGATCCTATACTTATAACAGATACCCTCGATTACCTTGAATCGGGAACGATCAATTAAAAAAACTAAAAGTGATCACAAAGCAGCTCATACTACATCAGGCCTGTAGCAATGTTTTTAAAAGGAGGGGGTCCAAAAAAGACGAGTCAAAATAAAACTAATAATAAAAAAGTAAACTGATTAAACTCGAAATTCCTATTTTGGGGTGGATGATCTTTATCTACTCGGTACATTGTCTTCTTTCTATATACTGGAATTTGCCGGTGTTCGATCATACACCAACCAAAAAGGAGTGGGGGCAACCGACATTTATCTATTAAAACCGTGTTTTACGGGCCTGTACGTATGCTGAAACTATGAACTAGATACAGCGATCCAAAATATGTATACATGTATTCATGTTCGAAAGATGTACCTACATGTATACATAAGAGAGAAAATTTCAAAATATGGGAAATTTAGAAAAATTATTTAAATAAAGAATTAAAGTTGATAATTAAAAAAGATTGAAAAGGAATATCTGATTAATTTTAATGAATCACTAACATTTAAAATACACAGACATAAAAACCTCCTATCAAATAAATCGCGGTTTATTGAAGGGTTCTACCCCCCCCCCCCCCACACACACACACGATCTGCTCCTCCGTTAAAGCAATTTAAGATATGTTTAAATACGCATTTACAGATGAAGAAAGTGAATTATAAATACTTTTTTCTGTAAAGTTTTTTCTCGACGATAACGGAGATAAAGACCTTTTCGAATTTGAAACCAAAAACAGACGGCAAAAAATTAAAAATGTTACTATAGACGAAAATGAAACTATTGAAATTATGGATCCCAAACCCCCAAACCCCCAGCTGGTCTTGGCATATTTAGCCATATTTTGATTTTTAAAAATGGCAATGAAATTGCAGTTCTGCTAAAAATTCTATTTAATAAAATTTTGGCGTATTGGCAAATTCCCGGTGTTTGGAAACATACACATGTGATATCTGTCTTTAAAACAAATCCATTAAGTTAATTATATACCAATATCCTTATTAAGCTGCATAGGAAAAATCTTTGAAAGAATATTGTTCAAGTGCATTTATTTAGTAAATTGTTATGGTCGAGGGTCCTATTGTCGTGCGTGCCAGTAGTCGTGCATCATTTTATTTGTTGTCATACGTGTATCACGTGCAAGATATTACGTCATAAACGACTGATTTTCAAAGATTAGAGAAGGAAGCGCCTACAGTATAACAAAGAGTTAAATATACGGAGGAAACATTTATGAATAAATGAAATGAACATAAGCATCGATAAAAGTCGCCATTTTGTTAATACTCATTTTATAGTTTCTAAATACTTTACTCGCGCAGAAGCGCCACCTATTGACATGACGAGCACATGGCTAATTAGCATAGTCATACGTGATGATCACTGGGTATTTCGTCAATAATTTTAAAAGATGACTTGATATACATTGCAAAGTCCTTATACTGAAATACGTAATTATTACTTAGGAATACTTGTAAGAAGAGTGCTGAAAAACTTGTGACTTATTTTAGAAAAAAAACATTCGTAATCCTAATTAAATCAAATAAATTCTAAAAAAAATGACTGGATTGATCCTTGAAGAATAAAGTCGTGATTTTGTTTTCATTTTTCTTGGCCCCATATTTGCTGCTACATCCGAGCGCATGACTACTGGTCTAAAACGAAAACTCGTTTAAACCCGACTTTTTTGTGCCTCGGTATTAACTTTAATAAAGCACTTCGAAATATTTTTAATAAGAAGAAAATTAGACAATTACACGGTAAGTTAAAATATCAGACAGATAACCAAAGTTTTCATTTAAATTGTACTTAGCACAGATACTCTCTTTTTTTAAGTGCACGACTACTGGGCACTCGAGGGTATAAAAACATTATGGATTTATGAGAAATTATTAAACAGTACCCAGTTAATATAAATTTATCATAATAAATGTTTTGAGTTAAACAATAAAGAATTCGAAGTAACTTGTTTTGCACTTAGTGATAACAGCAAGACATTCGATACGGTTTGTTTAAAAGATTTAAAATAACAAGAGACAACATATGGATTTGTGGCTAAAGTTCTTACCTAGTTAACTAATTATCTTTTCAATTCTGCTTCAATTCAGCATATGTAAAATGTCATTACTTTCAAATGATTTTATTGCTTGTGATGACTTTAACTTTTCAATCGTCAACTTCCCTTACGAATGCAGCAATATACCTTCATCACCTGCATACGGGGTTATATTTCTCAGTTGATTCGATACGCAAGATCATGCTCTACGTATGAACAATTTCTAAAACGAAGTTATTGACGAACAAGTTGATGATACAAGAATATCAGTAGTCTCGTTTAAAGTTTCTATGGTCGATGTAATGACATTGTCAGCAAATACAATTTATCAAGTCAAACGCTGACTGACGTTCTTCGTACTAATTGTTAGACCATTATTTACCCACTGAATTGTCTATGGAATTTTCCGTTATTTCCCGATCATGACAAGGAGCACACGGCAAGTGCGACCGGTCGCCAGGGGATGCTCAATCCTCCATGGCACCTGAACCCACCTCTGATGTTTTAGAGGTCCATGTTTGCGCTGCTCCAATTTGTATTGTTTAATGGCCTTCTGAGCTTGAATATTGTTCGTTATCTCGATATATTTCTTGTTAATTTTAAATGCCAGAAAAATTACATTTCTTAAGTGCAGAAAGGTCAAATAACTGACTATGCCAAATAATTTGAATTTTTCGTTGTCTTGAATTTTAATGTGACTATTCAAGATTAAAAAAACATGTTTGTTCCCATAGTTTATTTGGATAAAAAATATTAAAGGATTTATGTGTTAGACGTAATTACAGTGCAAAGAGGTCCTATAAAGGTTAGACACAGATTTGAAGTAAATATTTTCTAAAATTTTCATTATAATATCATGACTTATATGTTCCTATAGCATTTCACACAAAAAAATATTTTTGTAATCTCTGCACACATCACTGAACACGGACTGACAATACTAGTGAGTTGGTTTTGCTTTCTCACATTTCTTCTCTGAATTTTCTGGATTATAGTTTTAATATTTTTCATTAAAAGACAACAAATTTCTACTTTTATATTAAGGATAAAGTTTACTTGGGAAAGTGCAAGGATGTGTAAATCAAACGCGTCCCGAAATTCGTAGTTTCAATAATTTCCAGATAAAATATTGTTTTAATTATATTTTCGTGTGAATGCTATAGGAACATATAAGTCATGATATTATACAGAAAATTTGAGAAAATATTAACTTCAAATCTGTGTCTAAGTCCCTTTAAATGCTCCGTAGCGCCTAAAGAAGCGCATTGACATCCATTTTTTTTTTTTTTTTCAATTAAGGACGACGGACCTAATTCGAAATTTCGCGCCACTGCGCAGAAAACCGCGCATATGCCTTGAATCAGATTGACGTAACTATGTATCGCAAAAGATAAAAAAAAAATATACATTTCTAATTCTTTTGAAGAGTTTTAAACGTTTCCTCTCAATTCCAGAATATTGTAAACATTTCGATTTATATTCATTTGTTGATTCTATAAATAAATTATTTTTTACGTCATTTACCGAAAGCGCATATCAACAATAGCCTGGACTGGAGGTTATAAAACTTTCTGAGTATGTACTCAGTGCTCAAACTCAATCTCCTTACTCCAAAACCATACTCATGCTAAAAATTCCTCTCTAATTTGTATACAAGTTTTGAGTATGAGTAAGGTTTTAGAGAACGGAGTATGAGTTTGAGCACAGAGTAACCTCCAGGCCTGGTCCCCTGGCTCATCCTTGCAGCGACGCGGAGTACACGAAGCAAAACGGGGACAGGGAACCAGGCTAGGTGTACAAAAACACATATGTATGATGTTAATAAAAAAAGAAAGAAACGACGAGAGAACGGTTTGTGTATACTACGGCCTAAATGTACGATCCTCTCCCATTCTTGGTTCTATGCCTATGAGCGGACTCTGAATGGTAACCGTGGCTTGAGACGATGATCATGATGTTCAAGTTGATGTTTCTGACGAAGACGATTAACTGTGGTACCCGTATTATTTTTGAAGACGTTTTAAGACTCAGGGGTATGTCATCGATTTGAAAGAACGATCTTTTCTGAAGAATGTCTAAGATATATTGGCATCTCATTCTGGAGTTTAACTTAATTAACATAAAAAGTTTTTAAGTGCATGTTTGTAAACATGTAAATGAAGTAGAAAACACACCAAGAACCAGGAATGCCAGGACCTAAGCTAAAACTTTCTGATTGACCATGTTGACATCAACACTGAACATTTGGAACAGGTAACCGTATTTAAATATAGGCCTATATATTTTTTCAATGTTACATTTGGTATTATTTATTCATAAATATTAATACAGTTTTTCAATGCAGACAAATCTTATCAATAACTTTGTAAAAAGGATTTTGGATGCAACATAAATTGCATTAAGGACAATTCCTAATTAGGGTAGCCTAGTTTATAAGCATAGTTGCTTCTGATAGAATTTGACCGAGCTGAACTAAGCCAGATAAACCTGGCTACATGCTAATAGAATCAAATAACCCAGCTTATGTTGTGAGCAGTATAAATAGAAATATTGTAGTTCTATGGTAAAACATAACTAAGATAGAAAGGACTGCAAATATATAATAGTTCACTGTCTTCACCAGAGTATCTCCATCAAAAGCTTCTTGTCATAGAATAAACCACTTTCAATACAAATATCTCCAAGGACACAATGTCGAAGCCGCCTGACATGCCTGAGCCTTTCAATTTTTTTTTGCTCAGTCAGTCCTCCAGTCTTGATGCGAGTGCAATACCATCTCACAATATACATATATATTATTGACTGGGTTCAAAGGAAACGTGTTAATTAAGGATGGATTCTTGTCAGCATTTTACGTCGTCAATGGGTCTCCATAAATTATGCAAGTCGTAAAATGCAAAATTCATATTTAATTATACTGAAGGAAAAACTATTAGTTAATTTGTCAGTTTAAGTAATGTGGAATCTATTTCTTTTGAAATTAATAAATTTTTCGTAATATTTTCTTTGATTTGCGACAATCTCCATAATATTCGCAGTTCGGTAGCGAATGTCAACATGTCCAGATCATTTCCCGTAGAAAACCCCGAGAGGGTTGTTTTGTAAAAACATTATCGAAGCATTGCAGAAGCCCAGGGACAGTTATGACAAATTAAATCATAGTTATTTATGCCCGGGAAATTCCGATCAGCCAAAAGGGAAGCTTGAACTTGAAGGTCACAAACATGTGCAAGATTGCAGATCCACGTTGCCTCGTCTGAAGTCATGTCGTGTGCAGTGAGCATGTAAGTTAGTTATATATGTCTGAAGATTTTCATAATTTTGAAATTGAATTCAATTACATGCTGATTTGTATTGATTTATGGGAATTCGCACGGAAATTATAGTCCTGTTATCAATATTTCGTCTGCTTATTCCCGCGACTTGTCAAAATTTGAAGAGGATATATTTCGTGTGTTCGTCAGGTTTATGAATAATAATTCACAAAAATAGCATTTTTTGTATATGACTACAACAAATTTTATATTTTTAACTAGCCTACTTTGTTCAAGACACAACAATCATCAAGTTATTAGAAAAGTAAGGTGTCCCGCTTGGGTACAAATCAAACGGAAAAAAAACTTGATATTGTATGTGGAAATATCAATAACATTGAAACACACAATTATCGAATAAATAGAGCAAAATGAAACATTATTGTTAAAAAACTATTTATATTATTGTTTTTTTTTTTACTTTTCTGTACTTTTAGGATAAAAAATGTCTATTTATTTATATCCAATACATTATAAGACATTATGCATATGGTAGAATCTATTAAAATATCTTCATTCATTTAAATCAATAAATGAAATACAGATGAGATAAGTTGTTTAAACTTATAATCAATTTCCATTAATTTAAAAAAATAGTCTAAGGGATGTTCATGTTTAATTCTTAGGAGAAAATCAACCCTACTTTACCCTAGACTAGAAAAAAGACTGGAGGTCAGAATGCAGGATGATTGAGCAAGGAGTGCTGGCAGATGGACTATTGAGGTACATGTATAAGAAATATGGACACAACTTTATCTAACTATCATGTAATGCAGCATCTGTGTTGCTATGTAAAATATATTACTTTTTTTTTTAAATTATAGGTCAACAAAAAATTTGGACTTTCATCAGGTGGACACATGTTCAGCAAGAAATTCTCAAATCAAATGAATGATGGCTGTCTGTGGAAAAGAGATTTTCTCAGAATATATCACAGATTAGAAGCAGGAGTTACATATTTATCTGATCAAAGAAATGTTTTTGTGTGTAGAAATGTGGAAGTCAATGCATGTTATCATAGTTACTGCTGCTTGTTGCATGATTCCATTCTTGATTTTTTTCAGAAACTTTCAGTCAAAAATATTTTTATTTATAATTATATAATGTTAAATTATTTGATTCCCAAGTACCCGATACAGTGCACACTTTGTAGAATGTGATTACTTTACAAAATCTTTGATTCAGATTTGAAATCTTACTCCAAGAGTGAATTTTTCAAGCATTATCTTTCATTAGATTACAATGTGAAGATTTACATGTACTGGCATTACAACAACTTGTAAATGATATATACCTAGCTCTATGTATTCAGTTGCTTTACATTTTCAAATACAGTTAAAATCTTAAAATACAGTTCTGGAATACATAAAAATGTGCCTGCTTTAGATCATTTAGTTAAAGGGTGATTTTAAGCAAGAGCATGCTGAACAAAATTGCTGGTAGTGGCCGGGTTAAAATTTAGATTTTTACAAATGAACTACATACATGTACTTGCAGTAGAAACCCTCAAGAGGTAATTTTTAATTCATTTCAATATAAGTTATAGACACTGATCAATAAATGTTTGTGCTACAAATTCTTAAAAAGAAATTTCATCCTTGAATAAGTATTTTGCATCTAAATGTGAAATTAAGTTTGATAGCTGCATGCATATTATTGTTACAAAGTTCAAGGATGTCATTTTCAGGCAAAGATGTCAAAGGGCATTTGATTGTCATAGATGGCTTTTTTGTTATCTTAAAACTCCAGCAAATTTTACGCAATTTGTGATCACAATGAGGAGTTATATTTATTGGTGCTGAAAAAACTATATACTTATAAATGTGTGTAGGTATTTATTGTCCCTCGCTTTCGCGAAAGAGAGGGGACATTAAATCTCATTCATCTGTCGGGCTGTCTGTCACAAAAACTTTAACCTTGGCCATAACTTTTGAGTGAGAAGAGATTGGGCTTTTGTATTTCACATGTACATTACCTGTAACAAGACCTTTCCAAATATACTGTGAATTTTGACCCCGTGGCCTTGGCCTTGAAGTTTGATCTACTTTTCAAAAAAATTAACATTACCTTAAATTGGTCATAACTTTTGAATGAGAAAAGATAGGACTTTCATTTTATGCCTGTTTATTACCTGTGACAAGACCTTTCGAATTTATACTATGACTTTTGACCCCGTGACCTTGACCTTGAAGTTTGACCTACTTTTCAGAAAATTGACATTTCTTTAAATTGGTCATTAAATTTAAATGAGAAAAGATAGGGCTTTCATATTAAATATGAACATTACCTGTAGGAATACCTTTCCAAGTGTACTATGATTTTTGACCCCATGACCATTACCTTGAAGTTTGACCTACTTTTCAAAATTTTTATCTTTGCTTATAACTTTTGATTTAGAATAGTTAGGGCTTTCATATTTAATATGCGCATTAGTAGTGACAAAGTGTTTCAAAGCATGCTATAATTTTTGACCCCTTTACTTTGACCTTCATGTTTGACCTAAATTTCAAAAATTTTATATTTGGTGATTACTTTTGAATGACATATGATAGGGCGTTCATATTTGACAAGTGCATTACATGTGTCAAACTGTTTCTGAATATGCTATGATATTTGACCCCGTGACCTTGACCTTCCAGTTTGACCTAATTTTCAAACATTTCATCATTTTGCTAACTTTTGAATGAGCAAAGATAGAGCATTCATATTTGACAAGTGCATTACCTGTGACAAGCATTTCCAAATGTACTATGATTTTTAATCCCATGACCTTAACCTTGAAGTTTGACCTAATTTTTAAAAAGTTTATCATTGCTAATAGCATTTGATTGAGAGAAGAGATGGTATTTACATTTGACATGTGCATTACCTGTTTCAAGACCTTTCTGATTGTATACTCTGGTATCTGATATTTTTTTTTACATGTGCATCACTTGTGAGAAGATCTTTTGGATTTTATGATATTTGACCTCATGACCTTGATCTTGAAGTTTGATGTAGTTTTGAGAAGCTATAGTCTTTGCCATAACTGTTATTAATTCAATAATTTATGTTTTTTTGTATGAAGCACAGATAAGACAGGACAAACAAACAAGACTGTTAAAATATGCCATAAATAATGGCATTGGCATCCCATCCACTAAGACATCGAAAGCGGGGGACCACAATTCTTTGAATTTGCTTGTTGTTTTCAAAACTCAGTTTACAAATGTAAAATATCCAATAATAACATAATACCAGGGACCTATATGTATATAACTACATATACATGTATAGGCATATATATTAGTCCCTCTGATATTCATATATTAAGCTTTGAATGGCATGTTCACTATACATGTATATTGATTTCATGTTTATGTCATAAATAATGTATTGAAATCTTTTCTAGTCTATGGAAATTTTATGTATGATTTTTCTCATAACTTTTTGGAAGGTTTATTATTTATTCCTGGTTATATTAAAGGTTAAGTTGCTTTGAATTAGTCCTGTGCATGTGAAGAATGTATGTGATAATTTTTCTGTAATTGCCACTAGAAAATTGATGTATTTTATAAAATTGTCAAACATGCATAACATCCATAAGAATAAAATGACAGAGGAAATTCGAAATGAATATTTTGAATAGCACTAGTGTAAAATACCATAAAAATAGAATGTATAACTGGGAGAAATGAATGTATTTATGTCACAATTACACCAAATTAATATGTTTTTGGGGATTAAAAATCTTTTTTATAGACATTTAAAACACTCTGTAAAATGAAGATTTCAGAAAGTATAGAACAAATTCGGGCTAATTTTTTTCGATAATTTGCCTGATTACTATATCTTTTTTACCTTGTAAATTAATCTTGAACCTTTGAATATTCATCAGACAAAAATCTATATATTTGACATTATATGGTCAATTGTAAAAATTGAGATGAAATTTCATGTGAATTCATAAAAACTGAGAATTTTGAAAAAATATCGAGGAAATTCGGATTAAATATATTTATTGAATATAGAGGATTTCATGTTATCTTTTCACCAGCTCATTTCATATGAATTAGTCATCAAAAATAAGTAACAACTTTAATTTTATAGTGAAAGATATTTATTCAGTCAGCAAAATTTATTCATATGCATAAATTTCAAAACTTCTCTGTGTAAAAGTACTATTTTTAGGACTGACTTTCAAATGACCTTGACTGAAAATCAAGGCCGATGACACCAAAGTTTTTGGATGTTAAAAGAGTGTAAACAGTCTGAATATTGAGTATTCAGAAAGTAAAGATTCTGCCATTATAAGAAATATGAGAAGAATCCATCCTTAAGATGAAGGCAAACAGTTTGGTTTTAGAGTTCAACAAAACATTTTGCCTGAGAAAACAGTTACTCAATAAATGTTTTGTTACTGTACCTTTTATTTTTTAAAATACATGTATCTTGTGCTGGCTTCCTTAATCTAAATTTCCTTTACCAGCACTTTGATGAAACTCGTGATCGGTCAATTCCGTCACTGTCAAACACAAATGAATGCTAATGAGATTTAGCTGATCCTGTCCATTGTGTTATGTAACCGGTCCAATATCTCATCGGCAGGTCCAATATTTCACTCCGAGCTCAAACATTGATTTTTTTAATGAACACTCAGTAAAATATTGGAAATGTTAGACTTTTTAAGTGTAGATTTAAATAGGAACTGGTCATTCCCTGTTTTACCAAAGTGCTGAATCATCAGAATCAAGTATGCTATTATGTGCCATATTATATAAGTGAACCCTTGAATCATTTGTTTTAACTATGATAATTATATTTATCTGAATTATCTCACAAAACTGTTTCCTCCAAAATTATAAGTTGCCTTCATATCTTTTACAGTGCACAAAGCTTTGAAAAAATTAACATGATTAAACAGCTTTAAAAATGTGTATACTTGAATCACACTGATCATGCTAATTGGTCGTTATGATGCTATCTTGTACATCACAATATTCACATGTATTTTGAATTTCAAATTTAATAATTGATTTTTTTTTTCCACAGAAAACAATCTACAGAGATACATGTACTGAAGAAATACCTGCTGTTGAAAAAAAACCCTAGCTAAGACATGTTTGTTTTTATTTACAAACAACATGATCAGGTAAGTTGAGTGTGTTGATACTTTTGAAAAATGAAAACATCACTCTTGTTTAAAAAGGGGATAAATGTGAAATATGTTCTTATTTGCTGCTCCTGTTCTTTATACACTGCACATGCTCATTAATCATATGCTTTATTAGGGTTTGAATATGCATTTTGACTTTGAGTATATTCATGTATTTTTTACTATCTATTTATTCACCTAACTTTGAAATGTATGATTGTACTTAATTTTATATATTGTTTGTATCATGTAAATCCTAATTTGGTTCCCATATTGTGATTATATTTAAACTACAATATTTAATAATATGTTTTATATTTTTTCCCTCAGAAAAAATACATAAAAGTCAAAGTTTTGGACAATGAAAAAAATCATCATAACTAGTTACATGTGTAAACTGTATACTTGATAATGATTAAATATTTATTTATCTGAATATCACAATCATTTTTTGTGGATTTCTTTCCAGGTAGAAACAACAATATAACTCAAATTGCTGCATCTGTTGGAGCACCCATCTTTAGCAGAAATTTTACTTGAATTTACAGCATTTCCATCAAGGCATCAAAGCATGAATTGATCGTTGTAACTTACATGTAACATCCCTTGCAAGATTATTTAACCCTTATGAGAAATCACAAAATGCAGTGAATGACTTGAAATTTAGACCTTTGCTCAACACTAAGGCCCAGTGAGGAGTGAAGGTTCTTTAGCGTGCCAATGCCTGCTCTTACATGGGACCTCAACTTTTACTCTCTCATCCAAGACCTCCAACTTTCACTTTATTGTGCCAAGTGCTAGTGTTGCTGTTTGGGCTGGAACCCTCGACCCAAGAACCAGGAGGGAGCGTTCCACAAAATGGGTGATCACAACACCCATACAGTGAAGATTCTGAATTGTTCAAATCATGACCCCCAGGGGTAGGGTGTGGCCACAATTGGGAACCTCCAAGCATAATTAAGAGATGCAATTACATGTATTTTATAATGGCTCGTTGTGTACTTGTACATAGGAAGAACAATGAAGACAGAAAGGTGTATGTAACAAAAGTAAATGAAAACTTGGCTCAAGCAATGTTCGGGAAGAGTGATTTTGTTTTTTCAAATACATGAGCATGTCATAATGATTTAAAAAGCGTTAAAAGCTGCTTTTTTGTACATCTTCCACAAATGTATTGTTACAGCATCAGAATACATGATTAGCCACTGAGAAAACTATTCATATAAAACAAATTGCATATTGTTGTTGTACATTTACACAGCATGTACATTACTCATTACATTTACAGATGTGATGAAATATTTAGGTACTCTACATGTAGTTACTTGTACAGTTGGTGTGAACCGGTTTTACCAAACATGAAAACATTTTTGTTATTTCTCATCAGAAAAAAATAAAACTGTAATAAAATTTTGGTTAAAAAAATTAAAGTTTGTATACCTAATAGGTAAATGAAGTGAAATCATTATAAACAAACACAAAATATTTTTGAATATTTCAGCACATTTTGATACTGATTGGTACTTTTTCAATACTTCATAGTTACATCTTTTATACCTGTCATCATTTTTTCCTGAAGTGTGAAATACTTTATGAATAAAGTATTATATCTGTGTGTTAGCTCCTTATATTCTTTACAATGAGAGCAGCCTCAGGGTAAAATAACACAGGTGCATGATTGTAAAATGTTTTTTTTAAAGGTTGTAGAGTTTACTACCCATAGCATGCACGTCCTGTAAAAAGACACATGAATTCTCAATTGAAATAATATCTTTGTAAAGATTTTGGGTAGGAATTCCCAAATGACAAGCTGATGGATATTTTCTTCCCTATTTACATGTATCACTATCAAAAGTCTTGGAATTTGTAGATTATTATTAATTTATAAAGATAAGAAAAGAGGATACTCCTACAATTTAAATATTTATTCTACAGTTTATCATAGTTCATTAACATGATTAAGACATCAGTATTCAATCATAGATTTTATATTTTGTCTTTTAAGTTGACTATTAAAGCATATTTAGTGGAAAATGAGTCTATCAGAGTAATTAAGAATGATTTTGATTATGAATGCCAAATTTTGCCATATTTCAATTTAAAACTCTTAGTCCAAAAAATACAGAACCCTGTACAAAAAAGACTTATATAAGCTCTAGTTTATATAGATAGTAAAGACAGAGTAAAGTGTCAGAACAAGACAGAAACCAAAAAGTCCTATCTTGAAACAGTTCCTTAAAATTCACTTGGTCTTTTACCATCTATGCATATTTATAATTTGATAAACACTGTATCATATACATGTACATGTATTAGAGTTTAGTTTGCTCAGAAAACTTTAAACTTCTGAAATGAACAGGCTTGCAGATAATGATTTGTTACATCAGGGACCTATAGGACGCGGATCACGTAAATCATACTTTGAGACCATCTCTAGAGTATTATACGCGCATAAGTCACGTATATCATACTTGGACACCATCCTTAGAGTTTTTTTTAAATTGGCAAACCACTTTAAATTATTATCATTATTTAGTGTTAAAGTAAGTTAAAGAATAAGTACATGAAACATCAGAATTTATTTGGCCAAGGTATTTTCAATGATAATTTTTCCCCAAAATGTGCCCTACACCAGAGTTTGACATGCCCCCCTGAAAAATTAAGGCCGATGACCCATTTATTTTTTGGCATAATTTGCTAGTAGATTGTCTTTTTTACATAATCCTTTAATATGAATAAAAATTCTATTGCAGAATTTTTTTAATGATCACTTTTATATTGTACACTGGCAATTTCCCATTACTTTCTATAGTAATTATTGGTTTCCATCACCAACTTTTGAAATGCTCCCCATTAAAAATCTACATCGATGACCATATAATTTTTTTTATTGATTTTAACTCACCAAAAGTCACTTTACCTCATATCAAAATTTAAATAAAAACTCTATTGCAGAAATGAATTAGGTCCGTCGTCGTTAAGCTATGTATGTAGATTCTTAAAATATACTTGATAAAATATTCTCAATACTTTTGAAAACAGGATAAAACTTCCTTAACTTAACAATTTAAATCGATTGCTTTTCAAAGATATCAAAATTTTAAAACAATAACCGAATTATTTACCGACTCAACATTTAAATAACAAAGTTTGAAGTCAGTTTAACTATTGAAACCTAAATTATTCAAGTTCAAAATCGGTAAAAAATTTAATGTGAACGTAAATAACATACATCATGTATATCTACACTCAGTTTCACTATTTTTTTTTCCCCCGATACGCCATATATAACTTTAATGACAACTGAAAGGTAACGGTATGATTATTGAGTAGTCACTTGGTGCCGCTCTAAGCTTTACTAAAAGTTCATTTCTTTCTCTTGATTGAAATTCAAACATTGACGACTGTTAAAGTGTTTGTTTATTTATTGATATATGTTTCAAAAAGCAAATAATAATAATAATAATAATAATAAAGTTCATTTAATACATATGTCTATATATAAATAATATTATATTATGTACAAAAAAGGAAATAGAGTCCTTCACATAATCGTCTCTTAGCAATAATCTGCTCACTTCTTCAAGACAGACAGATTAAACACTTTCTTTCCAATGATGCCAGGTGCACTTTTCAATGACTTTGCTATTTTTGCTATCGTTTGGGCTGGATTTTTCAATGCATTGTCGTAAGCCACCTTAAATCGAGCAATCAAACGTATTTTTTCCCAAAATGACAAAGGGGAGACTAAAGCTTTGCCAATTTTCATCATAACTCCAGTATTATCTGTAGCTAAGGATTCCAGCAGATTAAAGACCAGTTTTCCCTTGGCCAATAAAGTAGTTGCTTTTGGCCAATCCTTTTTAAATTCCTCAATCTTTTGTCGAATGTGATCAGTAATCAATTGGATGACCTCGTTGATAACAGAATCCATTTGCTCGTCGGTATAGGAAATTTTTAAGCCAACGGAGGACATAACCAGAAGAATGATCTCCACGAGTATGCTTGCCATTTGCCTATCTATGGCTCTTACAATTCCATCAGATGTAGAAAGATCGATGTCTTCAAAGAGTTTCCTCCCTCCTCTTTTAAAACGTGCAATTTTCGGTGAAGCGGTGGGTTCAAGGGACATGGTGAAGGTTTCCAGATGTAATGCGTACTGCAAAAGGAGGTTCTCCTCAGGGGTCAGCTGTTTTTCCAGGGAACTGAGAACGACGTCATCAGAAGCAGATTCTACATTTTCAGGAATCCAAGAAAACTTTTTTATTTCTTCCGAGCCATCTTTGATGATTTGCTCCACCAGTTGATGCAAAAACTGCTTTTCTTTTTCGTCTAATTGTTGGAGATCTGCTACTTTTTCCAGTTCTTCCAACACTTCCTTCTTCACATCACCTAATAAATGATAAATATAAAATTTATAAACTAGCTGGATCTGCTTTGCATATCTTATGACAATTCTGCTCTATTCACATTCTGAAGTGTTAATACACTAATTCATCATTTTTTTTTTTTTTGGAAAATAAAGTTATTCAGATTTAAATATAAAAATGTAAATCAAATCAAAAATACAATCAGGCTGTCGAATTATCACTGACAAAACATGTAGAAGTATCAAACTCGTATTGTTTTAAAGCAAGAAAGAAAAAAAGGAATTGAAATGGTTGCCGAAGGGTGGACTATTTAATAAGAGAGAGAATTGTTATGAATCTCTAAGACTTTGAACTTACTTCTTGTTCATTATAATTTTTTTTATAGTGAACTGGGCATAACTTTTAATATACAGTACAGTGAATTAGAAAAAAATACATTATTAATTATTTACATTTATTAATCTGTATACAAGTATAAACCACACAAAATCTGAAGAAATGTAAAAAAAAAAAAAAAAAAAAAAAAAAAAAATGCGTTATGCTAGTAAAATAATGCAATAATCATCTGTATTAATGTGTTTCCAATTCATTTCTTGTAAACAATTGTTTTTTTTATTTTCAAGAATAAAAAAAAAGAAAAGCAGTTGCTAAAAGTAAACCAAAAACATTGATGAAAACCAAGTAGAATTTAAAAAATGGGAGAGAGAGGGGGTGGGTGGGATATGTACATGTACACTGGAAACATACCTATTTGTACAGCCATTTTCTTGTTTCGATGCTTGGATTCTAAATTTAAAAAAGAAAATGAAAAATTTTCAGAATTTGATTTTTTTAACAATCAAATGAATATACAATAAACGTCTATATACATGTACATGTTATCTAACGACATGCATGTATTAGGTTTCTAAAATTCTTTGCTTAAGACATTCTCTCTTCATTTTGTGATAGTGGCTTGTTTACCATACGTGAAAACATATACGGTTTATCAGGAATATATGAAATATTTTTCAAAAACAAACACTTGATTTCTTTAGTAGAAAAGCTTGTATAATTTCTCTTATGATGTGATGTTCAAAATAAAGCCGCACGATTTCAGTTTTAAATTGTAAAACCTATCAAATATCAATATGAGTAATAAATATTGAATTCAGTGCGAATGAAATACCTTTTCAATGGAAGTGTGAGGTTCCTCTCAGTTGCGCCGGAGTGTCGGGTGTTTCACGGGAACGGGTATTTATATGAGGTAGCAAACAACTGCCGGATCTACAGTTACGTACAGTACAGGATTCCGTGTTACATCGTCGCGGGTTTTGATCGCCGTATTAACCAGAGATGGGATAATGGCAATACGTACATGTAACCAAGAGGTAATATCCTTGCAGAGAGAGAAAACTT